TCCATTCAATCAAACAAACACAAGTCCATTCAATCAAACAAACACAAATCCATTCAATCAAACAAACACAAATCCATTCAATCAAATAAGTAGTATAGGAAATAAAGGAAAAGAAGAGAATAAAGATGGAAATAGAAAAGAAGTGAATGGGAGGATGATTGTTGGAAGTTTTAGTAGAGAAGACTTAGAAACGATCAAAAGATTTATAGAGAAGAAAAGCATGGAAGGGTATTATCGAGAGAAGATAGAGTTAAGAAGTACGGATGAAGTAGAAAAAGAGATAGAAGAAGTGATTAAAGAAACACGGAATGTAGAAGGGGAATGGGTTAATACGAAAAGAAAGATTGAAGAGTTACAAGAAGAAGGGGAAAAGACACGAGAAATGATTGAACATCAAGTAGGAAGGGAAGAATTATATAGTCAACCAATTCTTGTTGAGAAATATCGAAGAAGTAAGAAAGAAGTAGAAAAGATGATAGAAGGGATAGACAAAACATATGGAAGTTGTGCACAAAAGGAAATTAATAATGAATTAGAAAGTTTGTTAATACAAGAAAAGAAGAAAGACAGAAATAACAAAATAGTGATTAAGAGTGTATTTGAACGAAATGCAAGTGATATTGAATATTTAAGTGGAGAAATCGAAGAAATGAAAAGAAGAATGAAAGTGATGAAAGCACGAATTGAAGGGAATTTAGATAAATGACAAAGAAATAATTAAATTAATATATAAAATACTAAAAATTCACATTAATTCTATAAAAATGAAAGAATAATAAAAAATGAAAGATGAAGAATAAAATAACACTCTTTTTTTTTTGAAAAACAAACATAAAATACAAGAATAACAATAATAAAAACATAATTCAAGACATTTCAATCATTCAAATAAACATAAACATTATCTTCAATATTTTTATTTATAAGGGGTTGATTTTTCAATAATAACCGATAACAAGTAAAAATGAAGAAATGAAGGAATTAAAGGTATAAAGAATTCATTATTTATCAAATGATTTAATTGAGAAAGATAATAAAGAAAATCTCTTAAATGAATAAAGAAGAATGAAATGAGAAGAGAAAGAAACAAGAAAAATCAAGAATAGAATAATTAAAGTGAGGAAAATAGAAATAGAGAAAAGAATAAGAATAAGAATAAGAATAAGGAAAGTATCAAAGATAATCAGAATAAAAAGAAGTGAAAGTCATGAAAAAGAAGATGAAGAATAAATAAAATAAAAAGAGAATAATAATGAAAAAGAAGTAGAAGAAAGTAAATACAAAATAAACAAGAAAGATATAAAATTAAAGAGAAGAAGAAGTTTCATTTAGAGAAGAAGCAATTAAAAGAGATTTAAGTTTAAATCTTCTAATCTTTTTTGCTTTTTGATTTCCACGACTTCCACGACGAACTTTTCTATTTAAATTAGAAAGAAGAGAAGTAGGTTGAGGTTTGTAGAGAGACTTCTTTAAGATTGAAAGTGGATTTGGACCTTTAGGTTTTTTTGACTTAATTAAACTGTTAAGATGGGTTTGCATTCCAGTCATTTGTTTATTTTCTTCATTCATTAAAGCATGAAATTCGTCTTCAGCTTTTTTAGCTAAAATTTTTTCTTCATGAGTTAATTCTTTTGCTTTTGAAAGTGTTACTTTATAAATACGTTTAAGAGAAGGAGAAGGAGAACATAACTTGAGAATTTGTTTGTCATATGTTATAACAGGAAAACGAGTATGACGATATTGTTCAATAAGACTTTGGTCCATAGTTGCAATTACATAATTATAAGGAATTTTTGTTCCTAACTTTCCCTTAAATGGTTCTAAAAGAGAATTAAAGCACTAAGAGATTATTTTATGAGTTATGTTTGTTTGAAAAGAAAAACAAATCCCAAACAAGATTAGTAGTACATGGAGATTGATGTTTACATTCAATATCAATATGTTGTGGATAATCAAAAGTGGATGGAAGATTATTTTTTATACAATTTGTAATACAAACCGTGGATTTGCAGTTGAAGATTTTAAGAAGAAGATTTGGTAGAGATAAACATCGTCTATTTGTCTCTTGAAGGAATTGTTTATCAACTAAGATTCTCAACGGTTCTTTTAGTCCACAATAAACTTTATAAAACCCAAGGAATTTCTTGTAGAGCTTGAAGCGACCCATCAACTATTGATAGTCTAAACCCTAAAAATTCGGAGTTAATTCCAATCCACCGATGCAAGACAATTCCAATCCACTGACCCAAGACGAGCCAATGCAAGAATGGAGTGATGTCGAGCTCTGTCTTGATGATGAAGCACCAGAAGTCGTTGGAAAAGAACAAGTATTGATTCAACCCCTCACAACTACTCAACAACCACTCTCGGAAATCATTGACAAATCAAACACATTACCCAACAATCTTTCTCATCAAACAATTCCACCAAACGAGAAAGTCATAGATAACATAGAAGAAATGGTAATAGAAAATAAAGAAGAAATAACAAATGGAAATAAAGAAATGGTAATAGAAAATAAAGAAGAAATGATAAACAATAAAGAAGAAATGATAAACAATAAAGAAGAAATGATAAATGAAAATAAAGAAGAAATGATAAATGAAAAGAAAGAAGAAATAACAAATGGAAATAAAGAAGAAATGACAAATGAAAAGAAAGAAATAGAAAGAAGGATAGAAGAAGAGGCAAGAAAAGAAAAAGAATGGGGGAAGTGGAGAAATGAAAAGAGAGAAAGAAAGACACTACTTGAAATGTATGGGATTAAAGGATTAAAAGAAGAAAGTATAAAAGTGCTTGTAGCAGGAGAAAGGAGTATTGAAGTATTTCAACAAGTGAGTGATGAAGTAGAGGATTTTAAGAATGAAGGAGAAAATAAAGGAGATGTAAGAGAAGAAGAAAAGCAAGAAGAAGTTTTAGTTGAAGAAGAAAGAGAAGAAATGGGTAAAATGAAAGAAGAAAAAGCAACAGAAGAAGAGAAGAATATAATTGATGAAGAAAAGAAAGAAAAGAGTAAGAAAGATAAAGAAGAAGAAGGAACAAAAGCAAAGAAAATAGGAAAAGGAGGAAAGAATAGTTTAAAAGGATTAAGAAATGAAATGAATAGAAAGAAAAGAATAAGAAAAACAAGTCGTGTGATATGGATAGAAGAAGAGATGTGAATAAGAAAGAAGGAAACATATAAAAGAATTAATTAATTAAACAGTAAATTATTTGTTTTAGAAACTAGCATCTATCTAAATGAATAAGTCTTGTTTTACTTTACTATTTAATACTAAAACATTTAACAAATTGTTGCATTAAAAAGAAAATGATTAAATGAGGCATAAAGATAGAAAGCATTTTGATGTTTAAGTTACAACCACTAATTTAATTTATCTTCTAATACATCAACAAGAATTAAATACTATATCTATTTGTACTTGTCAATAATCTTATCTAACTATTTTGAAATACTACTAAATGAATTAGATGACAATAAACAATGAAAACCAACTCATTTACTTATTTTATTGAATTTAATATAAAATATACTACATAGACAAATGATAGTAATACATTTTATTTTTATGATTATTATTATCAATTAAATCAAACATAACCATTTTGATTTGATTGAAGTAATAATCAACGATATTCATTATGTTTTAATACCAATTCTTTTACCTTCTTTATGTTTTTATGTTCAATTTTTATTTCTTTAATCAATCTCATACTTTTTTGAAGGTATTAGTATATTGACTTAAATTAACACTCCATTTATTTTGACATTTCTTATTTTTCTCTTTCTTGGTTCTATTCTTTATTCTTTATAAACATTTCTTTTCTTCAATCGTTTCCATTGTTATTGTGATATGCAACAATATTTCTATCAAATAATCAACTAGTTTTATCCATTTCTCTAATATCTGTATTTTATCAATGTCTTTTGTGGTATTGTCAATCACTTTTTACAATATTTTATTAATATTTTTAAAAACAAGAGAAAGAAATGGTTGAATAGAACAAAGAAATGTTAAATAAACGTTGTGAGTCTTACTCTTAATTAAAATGTTGTTTTATTTTGTTCTTATATGTAACAAATACAATGGAAGAGTGAATACCACTGAAGAATCAAATGAATAAAGAAGGAGTAGTAACATTTCAAATATGCAATATACAAAAGATGACATACTAAGCATTTTCAACACTAAATATGAAGTACAAAAGTTTGTATCTTTGAAACAAAACAAATGAGATTCATGAATATTGAAATAAAAATGAGAAATGATAGTGTGAAAGAGTAGTTTAAAGAAGAGTAAAGAAAATTCAAGAAACAAACAGATAGAAATAATGAAGAAAGAAATTGAAAGAAACATAAAGAATGTAGTGATGAAGAAAAACTAATTAAAACACTGAATGGAGTAATAGATAAAACTAATCGTATTGAAGAAATGAAAATTAAAAACAAAATATTCAAAATACAAGAAGAAATAGATAAAATCACCGAAGAATTTAAAAAGACGAAAGAAGAAAAGAATATATAATGTAAAGAATAAATATCAAAGAAACAATGAATAGAGAATGAAGATGTGATAATATAATTGAAGAAAATCACCAAATAGAAGAATTGGCAGAAAGAATAATAAGTAATATAATATTTGAATCAAAGAATGAAGATTTTTATAAAAACACAACAATATTTGATCAAAGAATAAAGAATATAATTATTAACAATGAATATTCAATATGAAATATATTTGAGGATATGTTAAATATAGAATAGATTGAAAGTGATGTAAATGACTCAAAACAATTTTATTTTCAATCGATTCAATATAAACAAAATGAAACATGAAAAGAATGAAGAAAGTTTATAATAATGAATCCCAATATGAATTTTATTTATATTAACAATCAGACAATTTTTGTTTTCATTTGGATATAATGATATTTATGTTTATAAAAAAATACAAAACGATGTTCACGATATGATCAATATTCATTTTGAATATGAATGAATAATAAATGCAATTTGTTGAAAAGAATTTTTTAAATAACAAAGAAAGCTAATAAATGAAATGATTCAATCTTGTTTAATTGAAAATGAAATAAAAAAGAATAAAAACAAATCAATGAAGAATATGAACAGCCATTTCATTCATTGGTAGATGAATGAAATGGTGAATTAAAAATGGACATAATTCAATGATTATTTATTTTATTTCATTTAATGAAATTTTCACATCCAATGATAGTGTTTTTAATAAATAAGGAAAGAAATAAGAATTAAATAGAAATAAAATATAATGAAACGAATAAACAAATTATTTGTATTATTTCATTGAATTAATTCATTATGAATCAAATGAATAAGATAATAGAAATTATAATAATAAGAATAAAACAAATAAAGAATGATAAAATACATCAACATATTTATGTTATTATTTCTTATTCTTTATTTTATTTCTTTATTCATTGTTATTCATTGCTTTTTACATTTTCTTAGAAATATTTCATTATTACGAGAATGTTATGAAAGTCATATAGAAAAAAATAATGTATGCCAACAAATAGTTTTGATGTTGTTTTCATGAATATAATTCATTATCAGACAAATAATAGTTATATTCATATTATTCCAATTGTATTATAATAATAAATATCATAGTCAATTTTTACGTAAGCATTCTTATATTAAAAAAAAAAGAAAATGCTATAATCACAAATACCTTAATTCAAGTAGAATGCTTAATCAACATCATTATGAGAATAAACAAGACAAAGGAAAAGTCTCAGAATAAAAGATGTTACAAGAAAAGACAAAAAACATAGTTGAAGAAAAGATAAAGAGAAATATATATGGAAATTAAATAAAAGTAAAATAATTAAAGAAAAAATACCAGAGCATAAAAAATGAGAAGAAGAAAAGGATATATGAAAGATATGAAAAAGAGAAAGAAGAAAATCAGATAAAAATATAGAAAAGAAAACAAATAAATGAGAGACTAGAGAAACAAAGAAATACAAAAAGAAACTGAATGAAGAAGAAATAAAAAGAAGAAGCAACCACCAAAAGTTAAAAGAAAAAATGATGAAGAGTTATTAATGACATAGATTATAAATGTAATAAACATCAAAATGAATATTAGAAAACAAAGAAATAGTAGAAGATAAGAAAAAATAAGAAAAAATAGAATAATGAATCACGACTCAAATCAATTCTATAAATTAAAAGAAATAATAACAAGCAACGCGAATGATAAAAATACACATTAATAAATTAAAGAACTAATAAAAGAGAGTGGAGAAAAAGAAATAAGAATATAGAATATACAACAATAAAGAACAAAATAATATCAAATAACACAATGATGAAATAATACGATAATAATGAATGTATATTTAATTAATTATAACAATAAATTGTGTAGAAGAAGTGATGAAAATGAATAAAAATAGAAAATGAAGGTATTGAATAAAGCGTGTTTTAAAATAATTAATAAAAATGAATGTAATGAATACATCAAATTATACAAAATAAGAACATCTCACTAACATCAATAAAATAATTAAAGAATAAATATAATGAAATATGGCAATAAATTGAAAATGAATAAAGTGAATAATTAATTAATAAAATACAATAGTAATGAAATAATGAATAATAATATAAAAAGAAATGAATACAAACAATAAAATTAATAAAAGAAAACAATATGTATGAATGAACAATTCAATAATTACATTAAATAATAAATGAAATGATGTACTATTTATAATGATAAAATAATAAGAAACGAGGATATAATAATGAATTAAATTAAAACATATTAGAAGATGGCATGTCAAAACACTACAGAGAATTATAGAACAAAGTCAATAGTTTGAATCAACATGTATTATCTGGTTATGTTGAAGTCATTATTCTGAAATATTATATCAATTATTGAAATGATGGGATTGATTTTTAATTATGATGATAGAATATCAATTGTTTTAATAGAAGAGTGGTCATTTGTAAAGATTGTATTATTATTTATCAACATTCAATTATATATGCTAATAATTTCTTTGAATTGAATATATATGACATATTATCAAAGAAAATTGGTATTTGTGTTGATGATGATAAATGAAATTATTCATAATAATATATTGATGAGGATCTATTTTTTAATCATAACAGAAGAAAGTAAAGACTATGAACTTTTAATATAAAGTAAATTCAAATAAAAAGGAAGAATATTTAAGTTGATAAAATTTGAAATGGCTTTAATCCAAATAAAAAATGATGAATAGAAAGTCAAACTTCTCAATAATGAAAAACTAAAGAATAAACGAATAATTGATGAATAAACATTCTTAAAGCACAAAGAGGTGATTATTTTCAGGTGAACAAAGAACAATATAAAATAAGTATATTAACATTTATTTAACTACTTTATTTGTTTAATTAAACGATAGATTTACATAGTTGAATATTGGATTATCATTAAAACAATTAAAAATAATGAAATTCTCAATAAGTGATACTAAATGGATTTACGACATTATTTCATTCAATGCTGAATTTCAATGAATATGAGAAACACTTCATTTACTTTTACTTGTAAAGTAAAAGAAACAAAATATATAAACATTATAAGTTAAAAGATAAAAAAATCAATTTATGTACAGTGAGTATATAAAAATCTTTCTATGTTTGATTAATTAAATTCAAATAATTTCAATACCATTGGTTGAAGTTTATTTTTGTTTTCAAATAAAATACCACCAACAAAGAAATGCTACTAACCTTTACTATTCTTCAATTTATCTAATACAAAAATTGAATTGTTAAAAAAGTTTGTGGTTTCAAAAATAATATAAATTATATGAGTTTTTGATTTTGATTTATTGTTATTTTGTTTAATTGAAGTATTATCTTATTTAATTTCCTTTTGTTAAACCTCAAAACGATTTTTTCATTATTAAAAACATCATTGAAACTGATATAAAATGACAAATTTCCAGAACTTATATCCATCAAA